AAAATGTAAGGCACAGGTATGCGGTTATAATCCGTAAACCTTTTAGGTATGTCAGAACTAGCAGTAGAAAGTAAGAATGAAGAAAGGAGGGGTTTCACTAGCAAGCAGTTGAGTACATATAGGAAACCCTAGATTGGGCTGTACTCGCTATAGAGCACCCCACTGCAGGCTAGACAAATACAACATTCTGACACACCCCCATAGCCAAAGTGGGGTGTAATCAGCACAATGAGCAGGTATAGCAGGAGTTCACAATAAGAAGCAAAGCTAGAGGTAATCACAGCGGGCAAGTGAGGAGGAGGAGGGACTGTGAGAGGAGAGAAGATGAGAGACGGCGGCTGAAGCTGCAGACACACGGGCAACAGGAGCTGCTGGCACAGTGGCTACCGGGACAGTGCGCCCCGGACTACTGGAGTAACTGGCTCACGGGCTACGACGAGCTACAGGAGCAACGGACCCTCGGGAGACAGGCGCAGCAGACTCTCTGGGCTACCACGACAGTGCGCCCCGGACTACAGGTGCTGCGGACGACAAGACAGCAGCCTCCGCTCAACCTCCTCCAACTGTCCCACACACCCCCCACACACCCACTGCTTCACTCCTAACTCCACTTGCACGTCACCCCCCTAGTACCACTCCTTCGGCTCCCACACACCCACCCCCCTCAGCGGCAGCTGCAGCACTGGGAGACGGAGGAGGAGGAGGAGTAGGGGACGACGCACAGAAACTGCACCCCCATACCCCCCACCCCCAAACCCTAATTCAGGAGAACGGGCAGCAGCAGGGGTGGGGCGCCGTCAGAAGCACGGGGGACAGCGGGCAGCGCAGGGGCAGAGAAAACAGGGCGCCCACGGGCCTGGCGCAGCCCGTACGAACCGCGTGCGGGCGTCCCGAGGCGCGCCCTGGCCTGGCGCAGTCCGTACGGGCCGCGCGCGGGCCTGGCGCTGGCCGTACGGGCCGCGCGCGGGCCTGGCGCAGCCCGTACGGGCCGCGCGCGGGCCCTACGCAGGTCGCGCAGGCCGCGACGGGCGACGGGGGGCGACGCGCGGGTCCCCGTCGCCCGTCGCAGCGCCTCCCGGGAGCGACGCGCGGAGTGACGGGGCAGAAAACCGCCGCGCGCCTCGGGGCGCACGGCGGGATCGACCTGCTCTGATAGTATGTCAGAACTAGTAGTAGAAAGTAAGAATGAAGAAAGGAGGGGTTTCACTAGCAAGCAGTTGAGTACATATAGGAAACCCTAGATTGGGCTGTACTCGCTATAGAGCACCCCACTGCAGGCTAGACAAATACAACATTCTGACAAGGTATGCGCTTATAATCGAGCACCGGATATAAGCGCCACACGTCAATTAAAAGCGCCAGGCGCTTATCCGCGGGTGGCGCTTATATCCGGGGTATGACGGTATCGTATATATCCATGTTACTGTCGCAGGTGTCTCTTCGCGTGAGTTACAGGTAGTAGTGCGAACAGTCTCGCGACCGTTCGCATGACACAGAATTATACCCCTTCGTAGAGTCGATTCGATACCTAGCCCATTTCATGAACATATACGGCACATCTCTGAATAGGTACTTCGTAGACTATAAATCTGTTGTACTGTATGTTTTCTTTATTATCAATTCTTGTTCTCACAATTTACCAGCACAGGAATTCAAGTCTTCCGTATTCCCCCGGATAAAAGACCCCCCCATAATAATGTACCCGGGTCTTTAATACGGGGGGGGGGGGGGGGGGGGGGGGGGGGGTATTTTATTACGGGTTGTTTTCGTTATACCCCCCATTTGGGGTGAAATCATTATAAACCCCACCGCAAACCTCAAAAGTGTTTTTAACATGAAAATATCAGTCCCTGTTTCTGTTTCTGTTCCGAGGCGGTCTGACACAATGTAGTGGACGTGGTACACGTCCGTCGCCGCGTGATCTAGCGTGCTGGTTACCACTCAATGTGGGCCAATGTGCATGAAGCATTCAGATGCTTCATGGATTGTGCCCGCTTCTTCGGCCCAGGACACGTCGATGTCTCGCGAATCCGGCATCTCCCGAAGGTGCCTCACGGGGTGGAAGAACCGCAAGGGTGAGCTTGAGGGCGCGCACGGTGCACGCTGTCGCCTGCACGGCCGCGGAAGGAGCTCGTGGTATCGCGACATGGAAGCGGAGGTGTACCGGAGGTTTCTCGCCCACCGCAAGAAGTGTCTCGCCGTCTCGAGCGCACGACTGCAGAAGTGGTCGCACGAGGTGATGAAAGAGTTACACCCAGGTGAAAAGTGGGCCGGCTCTCAGCGGTGGACTCAGCGCTTTCGCCGCCGCTGGAACCTGACGACCAGAGCGAAGACCCGGGTCGGCCAGAAGCTCTCGTCCAGTGAGTTGTTATTTGGTGGTATTGTTGTTTGTCTGTTCCCGTCTATTCACGGCTCTCACTCTGTGTTTGTGCTTTCTGTTCCTCCCATCCCGTGTCCCAGACTGCGAGACTGATGTCAAGAACTTCTGGACGTACGTGCGTCACTCCCGCCGGCAGTACAAGATCGACCTGCCGTGGATTCTAAACGCTGACCAGACGCCCCTCTGGCTCGAGATGCCATCCGAACGCACCGTTGAAGAGGTTGGCTCGCGCTCCGTGCCCGTCCGCAGCGGCGGCTACCAGAAAGAGCGGGTTACAGTGATGCTCGCCTGCACCGCCAGCGGGGAGAAGTTGAAGCCTTGGGTCTTCTTCAAAAGGAAGACCGTCCCCAAAGGAGATTTCCCTTCAGGTATGCACCACAGGTCGATTACACGGTGGCATGTCGATGTCTGTTAAAAATTTTAACTAACATCGTGGTTTTGTTGCTGTGCAGATATCCACGTGGGGGTCCATCCCAACGGGTGGATGGACGCGGACGGTGTCACCGAGTGGCTGGACGGGGCAGTGAAGCCATACATCAACCCCAAGTTCGGAGTCCGCCCCCGCAAAGCTCTGCTCGTCCTCGATTCGTACCGCGGGCACCTGACCCCGGAGGTGAAGAAGAAGTTTGGCGAGCTGAACCTGGTCCCTGCGGTTATCCCTGCTGGCTGCACCTCGGAGATTCAACCCCTCGACGTCGCGGTTAACCGCTCCTTCAAGGCCGCCGTTCGCCAGCTCTACCAGGAGTGGTTTGAGCGTGAGGGGGTCGACACCTTGACGAAGAAAGGTGAGAGGTGCAGCTCTTCTGTTTATGTTTTTATTTCTTTAACCCGTGCTGACCCGGTTTCTGGATTTGCGTGGCAGGCAACATCAAGAAGCCTCCTGTCGAGCTGACGCTCAAGTGGATCTCGGCGGCCTGGAAGTCCGTGCCCAAGGAGCTCATTCAACGGGCGCTCCTCACCTGCGGCATCAGCAACGCCCTGGATGGGTCCCAGGACAAGCTCTGCCTGCAACACAGGCGAGACGAGCTCGAGGGCGAGGAGGTCGACATGGATGATGAAATTGCAGTACACGGTTTCTTCTGCAACAACGTAGAGGAACCTGAGTCGGACTCTGAGGCCAACCCAGATGACCCCGCTGCAGCTGATGATTAGAGTAGGGTAGATTAACTAGTGTAGAAAATGGTGAAGCATGTGTGAGGCTCGTAGGTAGGAGTAGATTAACTAGTTGTAGAGTAATTAACATGATGTTTTAGTATACTAATTATGTAAAAGGTCTTCAAATGAAAAAAAAAAAAAAAAAACTGGGTGGCGGTTATAAAATGTAAGGCACAGGTATGCGGTTATAATCCGTAATCCTTTTAGGTATGCGCTTATAATCGAGCACCGGATATAAGCGCCACACGCCAATGAAAAGCGCCAGGCGCTTATCTGCGGGTGGCGCTTATATCCGGGGTATGACGGTATCGAAGCATTAGCGAGTCAACCCTCGGAGGTTGAACAACTGCTGAAGGTTACGCGAAAGTCAAAGGTCAGCGACCTTTGACCTGACAAATACAGCGCGACAGCAAGGACAAACAACTGACTCGCTATTGAGCAGTTGCCCGAGTCGTCACTGTATCGAATCGCAACAGCAACAAAACGGTTATTAACTGTATCTCTTCGTATTCCTTGTACTCTTATAAAAGCTTGTATCCCTTTGTTTTAATCAATCTACTTTGCCCTCACATACTAGCGCAAGGTGGTTCACAAAGTTCTCATTTAAACGCTTCCGCTATTACATTGTCCTACTCAGAATTTAGTCCTGCAAAGATCCTTAAGGGCTTTTCTTAGCCCAACATCCGTAAGTTTGGCTGACTCTACGGTGCATGTGGTGATGTCATTTTGAATAAAAGATATTGGCTCTCGAGGATGATGCTACCTTGCAACCGCATTAGAGGGTGATTTCTTGGCTTGGCCTCTCTGGTCAACTATGCCTAGCAGTTTATGCACAAAGCTTGAGGGAAGACACGCAGGCAGCGGCTCATACCAGACCGGTACTCTCAAGATGGTGAAATCCCAACAGCACTCTGCTCTCATGCCCAATCTCTTCCAACCAACCCTACAACATGCGCTGCACAGCACAGACATTCACGACAAAATGAGAGCAGCACATGCCACGGCCCATGCTCTCCTGCGCTACCATTACCTACTCACCCAACTCAACTCAAAACTTCTCAGAGTGTGTGGCAATGAGTTCCACTCTGGCTCGAGTGTGGCAACGAGTCCCACCCACTTTGCCCGGGCAATCGTCGCCTGGAGAGGAAAGACAAGACAACTCACCCTACAGAAAGCTCACAAGCCTGCTACACGCCTAAAGGTCTGCGTGACAGCAAGCCGCCGTGCAAGAGCCTAAACCTATTCCCCATGCAACCGCAGCACCTCTGCACGTGGGCAATCGTTAACATGGCTCAAAATTCACCCCGCCGTGAGCGCACCTCCTTGCAGGTGGGGCGCAGGATGAGCGTGTGCTCACATCGAGCCACGTAGCTGCCCTTGGAGGGACAAGACGACTCGCACTACAGCAAGCCCACACGCCTGCTGCACGCCTACCACACGCCTCAAGGTCTACTCATACTGTTGCCTAAAAGTCATCATCCCCGCGTGACAGCACCTCCTTGCAGGTGGGGCGGAGGATGAGCGTGTGCTCAAACTGTGCCACGTAGCTGCCCTTGGTTTCACACAGCGGCGGGTGCGGCTGCACGGGTGGGGCGGGATGGAGGAGCGGGGGTGGGGGTGGTTGGTGGGATAAGGGAGGGTTGAGACGGGGATAAGAGAAGGCAAGGCAAACTGAGCCACGAAGCTGCCCTTGGTCTCACATAGCGGCCGGTGCAGCTGCACAGGTGTGGGGCAGGGTGTGTGGGGGATGGGTGGGGCGTGGGATGGGGATGGGTGAGGCAGGGGGTAAAAGCAGGCAAGGCAAACTGAGCCACGTAGCTTCCCATGATCTCTCCACTCCGTTTTCCACCCGTCTCCCACACTGGGGGTCGTCTTTGTGGCCCTTTTCTTCCCGACCTCAGCACAACAGCGGGTGCAGCTGCACAGGTGGGGGCGGGGCGAGTGGGAGGAGGGACTGGTGGGACGGGGTAAGAGCAAGGCAAGGAGAAAACGAGGCACCGTCCCTCCATCTCTGAACCCCGTTCATACCCACTCTCACCTGCAGCAACAGCACACCATCTGCATGAGGTTACCGCACCGCACCCATGTGCACCCACCTCCTCCCACCCGCCTGCACCGCACCGCACCTGGCTACTGCGGGCACTTATCCACCTGCACGAAGCTCCCATCGCAGAGGTTCTTGAGCACCATGAGGTTATAGGTCTCGCCCAGAGGGTCCAGATTACACGCACCCATCTACTCCCACCCACCAGCACCGCACTCTACCTGACTACCGCAGGTAGGTACCACCTGCACCCATTGCCAGCCTAAGTGGACATGGACGCGTCCAGCATCCCATACGCTAGCGTCCAGACGCTAGCGTATATACGCTGGACGCTCCGATGTCCAGACCTGGACGCTCGATATACGCTTGGGGCGGGCAGGTGAGTTTTTTTTCGGGCAGGGGGGAAAAAAAGGGCGAAAGAGGGGGTAGACGGCAAAATACCCTACTTCTCCAGAAAAATGTCACATAAAAAAAAAAAAAAAAAAAAAAACCCTTTGGCGGATTGCACCCGCGACCTCCACGGGAACGGCAGTGCAGATCCGCACCACGTGCCGTCCCTGACCCGGCCACTCAGCAAGGTGACTAGCGCAACGGCTATGGCTGTGGGCGAAAATGTGGTGGCAAAACCGACACTCCACTTGCTTTCCCTTGACGCCCACCTTCGTGAAACTACGATAGTGCTGAAATGTAGGGTGAGTACTATCAGTCCGCCATGGATTCCTGCAGGTGAAGGTAAGTAATGCTGGAATGGAACGCGATCTTGAGGAAGGAAATGAGCCTGCCAGTGTTGCTCAATCTATTTAGGAACGTGACGGGGGGGTTGGGTTGGCTAGATTAGGAGGGGTGAAATGCGGTGGCCTCTGAAAGTTTGTCGGATCTGGTTCTGTTTTGGCGCATCAGAACCAGATCTGAAATCGTGAATTCACATCTCGAATTGAAATAGCGAATCCAAATATCGCCAGTCGACTTTTTTTTCGGGCTGCCCGAAAACATTTAGGCCGAGCGTCCAGCGTCCAGCCTACAGACGCTAGCGTATATACGCTGGACGCTCACTGTCCAGAGCGTATATGTCCACACAGTTGCCAGCATACCACATTCCAGCATGCCACATTCCAGCATGCCACATTCCAGCATGCAACATTCCAGCATGCCACATTCCAGCATGCCACATTCCAACATGCCACATTCCAACATGCCACACTCCATCATGGTGCATTCCGGCCAATGCTGGAATGTGGCATGCTGGCACGAGGCTTGCTGGAATGTGGCATGCTGGAATGTGGCATGCTGGAATGTGGTATGATGAAACCCACCTGCACCCATGTGCACCCACCTGCACCCATGAAACCCACCTTCACCCACCTGCACCACTCCGGCATCGCAGAGGTTCTTGAGAGCCATGAGGTACTTGGTCTCGCCCAGGCGGTCCAGATAGCGCCGGCAGAACGCGAGCGTGCCAAAGTTGCGGTCTATTGTGGCCAATAGCTGCTTGGCACGTGGCAGCCTGGTGGGGGGGGAAGATGAAGGGGGCGGGGAAGGGTGACGGGGGAAGGGGGAATGGGAAAGGGAGATGATGACGAGGGGAGGGGGGAAGCGGGAAAACAGGGGATGGAGTAAAAGGGAGGTGATCGTAATTCAAAGGTGGTGAAGCATAGTGGAGAAGCGAATGTGAGAATAGAACGAATGGAAGGCGAAGGAAAGGGTAGCAGAGACGGATGCATGGAAGCACGGATGCATGGAGATGTGCATGCAGAGAGGCGACGATATGGGACCAGGTTGAAGCAAGAGACGGGAGGGGAAAGGGGCGTGTGGTTGGAGCCGAAAGGGGATTTTGACCGGGGGGGGGGGGGGGGGGGGGGGGGGGGGGGGGGGGGGGGGGGGGAGAGGGAGGGGAGGGGAAGGGGGAGGGAAGGAGGCGGAAAAGGACTGAGGTTGAGGAGAAACGAGGGGTACATAAAGGCATCGATGGATGGATGGATGGTTAGGGAGCAGTCACCTGAGAGGCACGTGCCCCACGTCAAAGTTCTGCCGAGCACCACGGTCACGTCAGCACACACGGCCACACGGGGACATGGTGACGGGGGGGACAAACGCAGAATCATTAGGAGGGAAATCAAGAAGACTGTCATTTGTTGTTTCTTTGCTACAACATGGCTGAAACGAGCAGAGGAAGAATGAAATGCAAAGCTTTCAGGAGGACTCCGATTGCATCGGACAAGGGGTGTGAACTAGCAGCACGGGCAAGAGGGCAACCCGCGTCGCAGCAGCAACATCACCCCTTCAACGGGAAATTCCCTCCATGTACCACGCACCATGCAGCATGCACCATGCAGCATGCAGCATCCACCACAAGTAGCCCCACCTTCATGTAGTGCGAGCACTCGAGGTCCTCGCACACGTAGCCCCACCCACCTTCATGTAGTGCCCACAGACCACACCAATATCCCCCTCCCTGCTCGCAACTGCCGCCCCACCTTCATGTAGTGCGAGCATTCAAGGTCCTCGCGCACGTAGCCCTTGCCGGTGGAGCCAAACGTCTCGATGGCAAACAGCTCCCCCTCCTCCATGCGCGTCGCCTCCCCGCCCTTCACGATCGGCACGCTCTTCCCGGCGTGGATCTGGTACGGCCCGATGCTGTGCCCGTTCAGATTGCGGATTGCTTTCACTGCAGGGATGAAGCAGGGGGGTGCGGGGAGGGGGGTGAGGAAGGGAGGGGAGGGAAGGGGGAACTGAAATATCTCAACGACCGGCACGCTCTTCCCAACCGCAAAATTCTAATGGGTCCAATGCTGTGCCCGTTCAGATTGCGGATTGCAGATTGCGAATTGCAGATTGCCTTCACTGCAAGTGAGGAGGTAGTGAGGCTACCCCTGTTTGGCTCAGCAGGGAAAGCCTTTGCCGTTGATGGTATGACTTCATACAATACGACTCCATGACCTCCTGAATGGCGCACCCCACGTCACAGAACCAACCAACAACTCCCTTCAAGAGATACAAAGGCAAGCAACACCCTACCCTACAGGTGATAAAGGCAGGAGGCAGCGCTGCTAATGTGGCTCATCAAGGAAGGTCTTGCCGTTGATGGTGACTTGACTTGGTACAAATCCATGGAATTCTGAATGGCGCACCCCACAGCCTACCAGTGCCTCCCTTCAAGAGAAACCCGACAGTCGACACATGCCATACCCTACACACAGACCATCTCACCAGGGACTTCCCATTGATGGTGACTTCATATCAAACAACCCCATGACCTCCTGAATCGCACTTCCCACACCGCAGAGCCTACCAGCGGTTGCATGCGAGAGAGACACTCTGCAGACGGACAACAGAAGCCAGGAAACCAGGGACACAACCACGGCTCACCAGGGAAGGTGTTTCCGTTGATGGTGACTTCATACAACTCCATGACCTCCTGGATGGCACACCCCACGTCGCACTCCAGAGCCTACCGACAGCCCCCCTCCCCTCCCTTCAAAAGAAAAGACAGACACACGCCATACCCCACAGACAGCCCCACCAGGAAAGGTTTTGCCGTTGATGGTGACTTCATACGACTCCATGACCTCCTGAATGGCACACCCCACGTCGCACAGGCGCACGTCGATGCCGCACTCGCGCACGCCCGTGTTGGTGGCGTCCTTCACAGCCGCCAGCAGCTGATCGTACTGCGGGTTGAAGGCCACTGTGAACGCACAGTCCACTATTCGGCCTGGGGGAATGCAAAGGAGGGGAGAGAGAGAATAGGCAGAGAGCTAGAACCGTTTAGAGTAGACTCGAAAAGCCTTCTGCCCTGCCGCCGGCAGCGGGTCGTACTGCGGGTTGAACGCCACTGTGAAGGCAAGGCACAATCCACTATTGGCCCTGAGGGATGCACAGAGGGGAGGGAGGGCAGAGAGGAGAGGAGAGGTGGGATATACACATAAATATGGAATCAAGTGTGTCACCCACTCACTCCTACTACCTCTGCTAGTCAAGCAAGCCCAAATTTTCAATCCAAGCCCAAATTTTCAATCCAAGCCCAAATTTTAAATCCAAGCCCAAATTTTCAATCCAAGCCCAAATTTTCAATCCAAGCCCAAATTTTCAATCCAAGCCCAAATTTTCAATCCAAGCCCAAATTTTCAATCCAATCCCAAATTTTCAATCCAAGCCCAAATTTTCAATCCAAGCCCAAATTTTCAATCCAAGCCCAAATTTTCAATCCAAGCCCAAATTTTCAATCCAAGCCCAAATTTTCGATCCAAGCCCAAATTTTCAATCCAAGCCCAAATTTTCAATCCAAGCCCAAATTTTCGATCCAAGCCCAAATTTTCAATCCAAGCCCAAATTTTCAATCCAAGTCCGCCCCCCAACTCAGATGTGGATATCGGGTCGATGCATGGGTATACCATTGATGTGCCTATGGGTCGATGCATGGGTATACCATTGATGTGCCTATGGGTCGATGCATGGGTATACCATTGATGTGCCTATGGGTCGATGCATGGGTATACCATTGATGTGCCTATGGGTCGATGCATGGGTATACCATTGATGTGCCTATGGGTCGATGCATGGGTATACCATTGATGTGCCTATGGGTCGATGCATGGGTATACCATTGATGTGCCTATGGGTCGATGCATGGGTATACCATTGATGTGCCGCCTATGGGTCGATGCATGGGTATACCATTGATGTGCCGCCTATGGGTCGATGCATGGGTATACCATTGATGTGGGTGCCAAAGTCGAGCTTCATGACGTCATCATACTGCAGTACTGTCTTGTCGCCTGCATTGGGTGTCCAATGGGCCGCCACCCTGGCATGGTGATGCACATGCAGGCACCGACACAGGGGCACAGGGGCACAGGGGCACAGGGGCACATGGAGACATGGAATGAAGCACACAGGCACACAGGGGCATCATCGTACTGCAGAACTGTTTTGTCTCCTGCATTGGGTGTCCAATGGGCTGCCACCCTGGCATGGATGGGGATTACACATGCACATGTACACATGCATGCATGCATGCATGCACACACATGGACACAGGGACACGGGGACGCATGCACAAATGCACACACACGCAACACCCGCACACATGCACATGCAGCATGCCACACAATGTAGGTCCGGGCAGGGCAGAGGAAGGAATGAGCAGGGAGAAAACCACGTGCATGCAATGCAGCCCCACCCACTCCCACGCACCCGAGTGCAGCCTGGCAGGCAATGCACAGCAGACCACGGGAGCAGTGAACCAAGGCAGAAGCAGAGGGGGAGGGAGAAGAAAAAGGAGACGCAGAGGCAAAGGCAGAGGCAGAGGGAGGGCCAGCGGCAGAGGGAATGCTGGGCTCGCAAGGGACACACCAGTTGAGGAGGATTGCTAGGCTCACCAGTTGACGGAAAGGGAGAAGTAGTGCAAGGCGCAAGGGACACACCAATTGAGGGAGCAGCCGGTGGGGAAGGCGATGCCGGCCTGCAGCCCGTTGGCGGCAATGAGGCGCCTCACCGTGTCCTCCAGCGTCTCACAGAGGTCTGTCATGAGCATGCCTGGCTTGATCACGCCCCTCATGTACTTGCGCACCTGGGCATGCACACGGGGGAGGGGGGGGTGCGATAGGATGGGGCAAAGAGGTTGAAGTGGGTCTGGTTTCGATGCTCTTCGGGTCTCATAGAGGTCCGTCATGAGCATGCCTGGCTTGATCACCTGCCGCATCCTCATGTACCTGTGCACTTGGGCAAGCACACATGCGCACTTGGGCATGCACACATGCGCACTTGGGCATGCACACATGCGCACTTGGGCATGCACACATGCACACTTGGGCAAGCACACATGCACACTTGGGCATGCACACATGCGCACCGAGGGGAGGGGGGCAAGAGGTGGAGTGGGATGGGTTTAAATGCTCTGACTGAGTGACCCACAGAGGAAAGTCATTAGCACGCTCAGCCTGATCACCTGACGCATGTACTCGCGCACCTGGGGGTGGGGGTCAGGGGATGGGGGGAAAGGAGGGAGAAGGCGGAGGAGGGAGGAGTGTGTTTAGATGTGCTGGGTGAGTAACAGAGGTCCGTTATGAGAATACTGGCTTCATCACCCGACGCCTGTACCCGACGCATGTACCCGCGTGTACCTGCGCATCTGGCCGTGCACACGCGGGCATGCGCATCGGGGGAGGCGGGGTGGAGGAGGAGTGGGATTAAGGGTTAAGGGTTTGATCTCCCGCCGCCTTTACCCTCTGCTATCCCTCTCCTTCCATCCACAGTAACTCCTCTCCTCCCTTCCAACAACCCCAAAACCATCCCAAACCCCGCCATCCCTCCACTCTTCCTCCAAGCCCCCCAAAAACCCAGCCGCCCTCCCCCTTTCCCCCACTCTCCCCCACCTTTCCCCTCTGTCTTCCCCTTTGCCTCACCTGCCGGTGCACCTCCGCGGCATGCCTGAGGTGGCTCAGAAGAATAAGGAACTCCAGCCGCTCCTGCTCTCTACACCCTGAACCCCGCTTCCCGCCAATCTCAACCTCACCTGCCTGCGGGTGCACTTCCGCAGCCTGTCGGGGGTCGTTGAGGATGGGCAGATCCAGCCGTTCCTGCTCTCTAAACCCTAAGCCCTCCCTCTTTCCCCACCCCCCCCATCTCCCCCCTCCTTTCTCCCCCCTCCGCCCTCACCTGGCGGTGCACTTCAGCGGCCTGCTGAAGGTCGTTAAGGATGGGGAACCCCAGCCGCTCCTGCTCCCTCTTCCCTCCCCCATCTCCCCCTCCATCTTCTATCTCCATCTCCCCTCTAAACCCCAAGACCCCTCACCTGTCGGTGCACCTCCGCAGCCTGCCGGAGGTCGTTAAGGATGGGGAACTCCAGCCGCTCCTGCTCCCTCTTCTCTGCACTCGTCTTGCGCCACAGGTTGCTGCCACGCACGCAAGCACGCAAATCACAAGAAACGATGGGTGGCCGGGTGGGGTGGTTGTTGGGTGAGGAGGGGGGGAGAGGAAGCAGTGTGGGAGGGAAGGAGGTGGTAAGGAGAAGGGCAGAGAGTGAGAAGAATCATCAAAGTGCAATTCATCCTCAGAGGAGTTGACTGATAAGTCGGTTCACTGGTGGCACGGCACTCACTCGTCCTCATAGTCGCAGATTGACTGATCTCACTCGTCCACATAGTTGACTGATCTCCGCTTGAGGGGAGAGACCATCAAGGACGAGGTCCTTCACCGGCACACTGGGTGAGGACCTGTCACTTCACCCCCATGCACTCCCACACATCGCCCACACTGGTGGCACGCACTCGTCTTTGTAGTCGCAGATATCCGCTTGAGGGGAGAGAGACCATCGGGGAAGAGGTCCTTCACCGGCTCTCGCTCACTGTTCTACTCACACAACAGCTCTCACCTGTCACTTCACCCCACCCCCATGCACTCCCACACATCGCCCACACTGGTGGCACTCACTCATCCTTGTAGTCGCAGATCTCCGCTTGTGGAAAGAGCCCATCGGGAAAGAGGTCCTTCACCGGCACACTGGGCGGATCCGTCTGAACTCGTGGCCCTGCAAATGCTGCTGCTGCTGCTGCTACAGATTCTGTTGCTGATGCTGGTGTTGCTGCTCCTGCTGATGATGCTGCTTCCCCGTTTGTTGCGTCTCCATTTGCTGCTGCTGCTGCTGCTGCCCCCGCACCACCCCTCTTCCTGCGCAGCAAGGAGGGACCAGGACCATGGATGCATGCCACGGGCTTAACCTACCCGAGCGCCGGAGTGCAT